GAATCCTAAGCGCCGCACTCTTGAGATGGCCCACGAACATTGGACAACAGAGCAAGTCGACTTACGGAAAAAGCAACAGGAGGCAGATGCTGAGATCCAGGCTCTTGAAGAAGGTGGAGGGGTATGGAAGCAGGTAGTGGTGGAAGTCTCAGGCTTTGAAAAGCGACTCAGGTCGGCGATGCGCAGGTCGATCCAGACACAGTCGCAACTTCTCGAGCCAGAGGGACATTCGAAAGTTAATACGGAAAATTATCAGATTCAATCTATTATAGAAGATTTGGAACATACGACCAATTGCGTGGAACAACACCTGAATCTTGCAGAGAAGAAGGATTGGAAGCTACTCACATGCTGCATTGGAGCGGAGCTCGAGGCCCTGCGTGAAGCACGAGAGATGCTTCTTGACGCTTTCGATGCATCTACAGAGGACAAATCACCCGCCCCAGAAAGAGAAACGCCAAATGCACGTCTTCCTGGCGATAGAAACGATTCATTGACAGATCCTCTTGGGGTGGACAATCCCGAACCTCCAGCTGATTTACTCAGGGATGCGGAACACAGGTCTCCAGAAGTGAATCTCAGGTCGGATAACGAGGATGACGAACCCGATCCCGCTTGGCTACTCCCGGAAGCTTGAATACAGTCTGTTAAACATGTGTAATTCTATAATAGCATTTCTGGCGTAAATGGCATGAACTGTTAGCATTGGTAGAGCTTCGCTGATGCTGGCTACTAGAAATCATGGTATGCATAATATTAGCTTGATCAAGACATCCATTGTTCATTTAATCGATTAAATCCAAACTAACCATCGGTATTTTCAAGATATAGGTGATTGGAGTGCTGGACTAAATCACCACCAGAGGCTCTGGAGCCATAAATAAAGAGACCGTGCTTAGCGAATGTTTCCGACTCACCTTGGCCATCTCAACATTAGTCACAACTATATATATCCACATCTTCAGTAACAAGCCAACGGCTAAAGACTACCACAACTTGTGCTCATTAGCAAGGGCAGGAAGACAAAAATAAAAAAGATCGGTGTCCTTTGAGATGCATCTTCCTGCTCCGACTTACAGCTTCAACATCCCTTCGGTTCACGACGGAACTGATTTAGAGTGCCGTCTCTATTTGCCTCTCGAGCTGCAGCAGTCGGAAGGTGCTCGCAAGTGGCACATACGAGGTGCGATAATAGCCCATCCATATGCGCCTCTTGGAGGATGCTATGATGATCCGGTTGTGGGCTTTATTGGCGGGGAGCTCCTCAGAGGCGGTTTTGTTGTGGGCACCTTCAACTTTCGGTGAGTCTTTAGGATGGGCCATGTCTTTTCTACGATGGGTTCCGCCGTCGCTGCTTCGAAGATATTTTATTGACACAATCGATAGCGGAGCTGGTGAATCTGGAGGTCGAACTAGCTGGACGGCAAAACCTGAATTGGCGGACTATGTTTCCTTCTACGGATTTATGCTCCATTACCTGCATTCGTTGAAAGAAGACCACACGCGACAGGAGGCCAGGGGCCCAGATCCGAGCTCTGCTCCACCAGCCGAACCAACTGGTGACTCTAGAGGCGCATCTGGGGATGTTCATCTCATTCTAGGAGGGTATTCCTACGGGTCGATGATCGCTTCACATCTGCCAACAGTCGATGTGGTAGCACGCTTGTTCTCAGAGGAAGATAGCGCTACATCATTTCACCAAGTACGCCAAGCTGCGAAGGAGCTCTCAGCTCTGTCGATAGAGAGTGTTCGAGGTACAGACATGCCGTCGACATCGAGCAATCTCGCCTCCAGCGAATGTAGCACGACTGTTGAGGATGTTACTCGAACAACAATTTCATACCTTCTCGTCTCGCCTCTTCTGCCGCCTGTCAACTTATTTCTCACATCTTTCTCGAAGCTCTCTTCGGGCTTGGCAGTAAAGACCCTTACACAGAGCAAACAGGTTCTCTGCCCCAAGCCAGCCGACCAGCTCTGCTCATACAGAACACTGGCGATCTACGGGAATCAGGACACTTTTACTTCCGCCCACAAGCTACGCAAATGGGCTAGTGATCTTTCTCAAGCGGCTCACAGTCAATTTCAGTCAGCTGAAATCGACGGCGCCGGCCACTTCTGGCGCGAGAAAGGTGTTGAATCCCGAGCCAGGGAAGCTCTGAGAAATTGGCTGCAGCACAGTCCATGATTGTGCAAGCGAAGCTCACAGCTCGTACAATCGATTAGGAGACCTTTATGACTTTTATATTAAGTTCCTACCTCGCACCACGATTGAATAAACTCAATGAGTCCTCGGTTCCAATTTTAATAACGTCGCCGCCAACAATAATTCTTCTGCTGACCAGATGCCGGGCTCCTTTTCGCACATAACACTCAGTCGGAAATTGTGTGTTCAATTTGCCACGCATTCAGAATGCTTGTCCTTATCAAGAATGGACACAGCAGAATAGTGGCTGCACAATGATGCTAGTCCGCCACAAGCAAAGCGTCCACCTATAATTTGCTAACACGCTAAAGTGTGTTTCGGGTGGCCTAAAGCTACTGTATTAACCAAACAGGTCCAAGGAGTACTTCTGCGTGTTGGAAGCTTGCCTGAAAGGCATTGTTACTTGCGATCCCACGTCAGCGTAAGCGCTAGATAACTCATAGCGTCACCGTCCTAGTCTCTCCTTTGGATTCAACACACAAAATCAGCCGCTGAAGGCTGGAATTCATCACCAAGTGCGAAAGAAACCCTTTCAAAGTGACTGATCTGCATGACTCTATAATGATTGACTCACCAAGCCTTGTCAAACGTTACCGATTCAGGTCGCCGACACCTGGAAAGGCTTAATGCAATCAAAGTGGGTTTCTGTTGATCCAAGATCATTGAGCAGCTGTATAACGCCTCTTTTTGAGCTTGGGACTTGATGGGTGAAGTGGGAAGCACTCCAGGGAAACGGGTGCCTAAGCATCGAAAGTATATAAGACCGTATACCCGCGCATTGAATGCGACGTGTTGCCTTCATGGCATCGCTTCAGACATTTTCAAGCCGAGGAGCAACGAGGAAATTTGTCTTTTTCCGTGATCATGTTCGTTTCTGGTGAATTCATTTTGGTTTCCACCCTCTTTTGCCTTGCTTCGGCATCTCCCACTGCGGCTATATCAGCCTCTCAATGGCCTACGGATCTGAAAGTGAAACAGCTCGCCAATTTTGGACCTAGTTCCTGGATCGAAAATCTTGCGATCCGACACTCAGGCGAAGTCTTGGCCACCGAACTGCTCAACCCGCGGATCGTGCAAGTCGATCCCGATGGGAAATTGCAGCCGATAGTGATTCATAGCTGGGCCGAAGGTGCCAGTGCTGGCAAGTATATCGGTGTTTTGGGAATCACTGAGACCAGACATGACGAGTTCTATGTGGCTGTGGCTGGTCAGTACGACGAGACTATGACGTTATTACCCAACTCGACCGATTACATATTCCGGGTCGACATGGGTACTTTGGAGGTGTCCTCGACAGGAGAGGTGCTCTCAAATGCCACAGTGACAAAGCTCACCGACCTCGAGGGCTCTCAGCTCGTGAATGGAGCCACGACGCTCAATGAAGATGCTATCTTGGTTTCCGATAGCTACAATGGATGGGTCTACAAGGTCGATGTCCGGACTGGTGCATTTGATGTGATCGTCGATGACCCTCTGATGAAGAAGAGCTACGCAGGTTCAGAAGGGAAAATCGGTGTCAATGGGATCAAAGTCTACAAAGGATATCTTTACTGGACCAACACTGATGCTGGTGTCTTGGCTAGAGTTAAGATCAACGAGGACGGGAAGCCATGCGGTACATCCGAGATCGTTGCCTCAAATCTGACGGGGCCGGACGACTTCACTCTGGACGAAAACGGGGCAGCATATATTGCTCTGGGCACCTTGAACGAACTCCGCGTTGCCTATCCTGGAAGCAGCAACAGGTCGGCAGCTGTGGGTGGGGTGACAGCAGCGAAGTTTGGACGCCAGCATGGTGACCATCATCGACTGTACCTCAGCACTCATGGGGGTAGGTCTTTTTCTACCAAATTCAAGTCCCAGTGAAGTTGACGCAATGGGCTAATAACCTGAGCAGGATCGAACATACTGTCCAATAGCACGGCAATTTACAATGGGACCATTTCATATTTCGACGCCCCTCATACGGTATGGTGACTGCTAGGCGACGGTGGTCGTCAAGCTAGGAGATTATAAGATATAGGAAATTGTCTCTACTCAATAGATCTTTTCACTCAGGATACTGTTTAGACTTTCGATGCTAGATGAAGATTCCGACCAAATTCTCTTGTGATTTTCATGGTTATAAAACCTGATGAGGTCCGAATTGTATATTGGCCTGTTGATAGTCCTGTCACATGCTTGTATTCCCAGACAGGAACTATCATGACTCAGGCATACGTATCTGGCTGGAGAACAGACAGATGACGTCAGGTGTCCAGCATAAAGATGACTGATCAAGGGCGAACAAAGAGAACAGCAGAGTAGATAGCGCAAGTACTGCGCCCTACCCCGGTTCTCAAAGGAAGAAAATGAGGATAGTGAACAGAATCAAAAGAGGGTCGCAGAGAGACAGAGGGAGGGTAGTGCTGGAGCAGGCGTCATGTGGCGATGGGCGATGGGCCTCCGGAGACTCCACACCTGAGGCCCAACTCTGCCCGCGTGACGCCTGCATCGCTGCTGACAAGTGCCAAACCCCACGCTGATTTCCTGGGGTTGCTCTGCTGCATAGTACAGACTACTAAGGCAAGGGCATCCGCTTGCAGTACATTCACGTTCATTAATGGATGATTCCATTCATCCTCGCCTCCATTCTCTTTTTCTTTTAGTTTCCAGCTGCTCTCCTTGACGTATAAAGTGACGACTGCAGAAGATTGTCTGGCATCCTGTCTATCTTCATGCTTTGTTCTGGTCAACTTCTTTGCTCTTCCCACATTTGCCAAATGGATGGCTCTCCCTCAACGTGACGCCTACCACCATGTCGCTTTTTCATGACTCGCCCATTGTGCAACCTAAATGTCACGGCGGAGTTAAATCCCGGAGTCAGCTCAATGTCTCATCGACCCCTGCACGGCAGCGCCGTAATCTATCGAAATCGATTTCCATCCCCTCGTTACCGTCGGTGGTGCGGAACTCGCTGTCATGGGCTGGGGATAGCCTAAATGCGTATCGCAATGGAGCCTCAAGAGAGAAAAGGACGGCGCCCACAGATATTGAGGATCGCAAGCAGATTTTGTACCTCAGGATGCGTAATGTAAGTTGCTAGCCTTCCTCTTCCCATTGCCGCTGTCCGTCCTTAGCTAAATCAAATCCATGGGTCAAGGCAGTCTCGTACGAGGAGTGGAGGAATTGCGCCTGCGAACTGGACGAGTTAGAGGACAATAATACCTGGAAACAGACGTTCGAATGTTCCGAATACAACCCTCACCTTGTGCAAGAGCGTCTCAGACAGCTGGAAGAAGCCCGCATCGGTTGTGACGTAAGCCGGATGCTTTTTCTGATTCGCACTTCGCTGAGTCGCGATCTGGGGAATATGAGCAATGTTGCGCTGTACAGGCATTCTCATGTTGGTACGAAAGACTTGATCGACCGGTACATCACGACGGCGCTCGACACGATATCAATGTTGGTGGAACTGGCTGGAAAGAAATGTGACGTGTTGGAATCGAGGTATATGCTCGATCAACTCCTCGCCGCGCGACAGGCGTTTGGTCGAAGTGCTCTACTGTTCTCGGGAGGCGCCACGTTCGGAATGAACCATATCGGGGTACTCAAAGCTCTGTATGAAGCAAAACTACTCCCCCGTATTATTTCCGGCGCCTCAGCAGGCAGTATTGTCTGTGCCGTTTTCTGCACACGCACGGACGATGAGTTACCCGCGCTTCTGGATACTTATGCTTACGGGGATTTTGCCGTCTTTGACGAGGAAGGAAAGGAGGAGAATATCTTGCAGAAAACAGCGCGGTTTCTAAAATACGGTTCCTTTTTGGACATTTCGCATCTTGCTAGAGTCATGCGAAACTGGCTTGGCGACATTACATTTCAGGAAGCATACAACAGGACCAGGAGGATACTGAACATTTGTGTCTCCAGCGCCGGAGTGTACGAACTTCCAAGATTGTTGAACTACATTACCGCACCCAACGTGATGATTTGGTCAGCTGTGTAAGTTTTATTATCCTGATGCTCAGCATACCCTCAATATCTTAGCGGAGCTTGGTTCTGACTTGCTATAGAGCCGTTTCCTGTTCAGTGCCGCTGGTTTTCACGCCCTTTGTGCTGATGGCCAAGGATCCATTGACCGGAGAAGCGGTCCCTTGGACTGATTTTCACAAGCAGTACATTGATGGCTCAGTGGATGGAGATTTGCCCATGACCAGGTTGTCTGAGATGTTCAACGTCAATCATTTCATCGTCTCACAGGTGAATCCTCATGTGGTTCCTTTTCTTCCGAAGGATGATAGTCCCAGCCATGTGCCAATGCAAACGTCATCCTCACCTGGCTGGCTTCATGCCGTGACGCATCTAGCTAAGGACGAAATATTACACCGGATGACGGTCTTGTCGGATCTTGGTATCTTCCCCACGTCCCTCACGAAAGCCGCATCCATCATGAACCAGAAATACTACGGAGATATCAATATTTATCCGGAAATTCTCTACGCAAATTTTCCTCGAATTCTCAAGAACCCGACCACTGAATTCATGCTTCAGGCGTGTCTCAGCGGAGAACGCGCAACCTGGCCCAAACTCGGACGGATCAGGAATCACTGTGCTATAGAGCTCGCATTGGACTCGGCTATCCAGCAGATGCGCGTGCGAGTTGCGTTCAGTCCTAGCCTGGTAGACTTGAGGAATCACGGGTTGAATGGCCATCAGATCGATTCGCTTGATAGTAGTGGAGGGCGCGGACGCATGCTCAACCGGAGGAGCTCGTACGATCATGAGGTGGAGCGAATGGAGCGAATGCGCCCCAATTCGGGCCGTCCATCCACAGTGCAAGTGAGGCGGTCTCATAGCGCGATTCTCGCCGAGCAGTCACATACCTTGAGTGTTATTCGTTCAGCCGAAGTTGGACAGGAGATTCAAGATCAAACCAACGACCGCCCGAGGGACATGACCGTTGACGGAACATATTGTATTGACTCCGATTATTACGAAACGGATCTATCCTCTCCAGAGCGACCGATACTTCCTCGGGGCTCCTCATGGGGATCGTCGGTGAGTGAGCAGCCAGGATCACGGCATGGTCAGCAGAGCCCTGTCCGAACTCGGCCGTCCTTAACGTCAGCCGCGTCCGTAATGAGTCCCTCCGTAGGCGCATCACGTTGGCCATCATCTACGCACTCTGCCGACGATGCCAGCACCCGATTGTCGTTGTACTCAAAGACGATATCACCCCCACGCAGCTTACTACAGATGACGCCTGCAGTTCATGGGGGCTCGATTGGTTCGTCAACCCGTCACTCTTACAGCTGATGCACAATCAGGGTGGCCAATTATAAATGCTTTCCCATCATAATGACACCATGGTTCATCTGGGGATATTGGGAACTCCGCTTAGAGACTCGGCAAGAGGTCAGCTTGCGACGCACTCTATCCGACCTCTCTTTTCGAGCATTCGCCCAGCATGTGAGACCACGAGCAGCAGTCCATGTCTCACTATGTTGGCCTGTTACGGCTTTCATTCGCATGTGATGTCGCCTTGTGTTCTAGACCTTAAATTTTGGAAGTTACACAGACGCCTGCAAAAGGCGTTTCTGGAGAAAAGGAAGCCTCATTAGACAGTACATACACGGCGACCTTAGAAGAGGACTCGGAGTTGATTTTCAGGTCATTTGACACGTTCACAAGCCATACCACAATATTTGACACGGCGTTCTTAATTATTGTGTGGGCAAGAGGAAGGGTTGATTTGTATTAGAGCAGACGATCAATAGAAGTACCTTTTATACTATCCTATCCCATTTCGTGGTTGCTCTGCATGTGTGTATAATCGAAGGCAGCCCTTTGACAACCATAACCCCTCACGAGCTGACAGCCCACTGACGAAATGAGTTGCATGCAGGACGACATGTATATTAATTCATTTTAACAAGCAGAATCCTGCATAATTAGTGTGTTTCGTCCTCTCCAGCTAGTGCTGAGGAGGTCTCACTGGGCGCTTCGCTGCTGCATTGCAACCTCAGTCCTCCTACAGGTGAGCTAAATTTGGCACAATTATCCTGCAAACAACCTGCGAAAGGAAACTAATTATGGTACTTGACTGCATATTGCAGACTAATTCAAGAATTCCCCCAGCGCCTTACATGGATAAGTTTCTAAGAATGGATATGTTAGTCTGCTACAATGCCTGTTAAGTGACGCTAATGTGTCGGGCGGCAATGGAGCTTTTTTGTTTGTTGCTAATGTTGGCAACTTGATCGACCGGATCGATGCAAGCTTAAGCTGTTTGTGGCTGTTTCAGAGACTCAGTGGATGTTAAACATGATTAGGAAACAGCAGCGTTCACTGGATATCCAGCATGGATAAGCTTATATACGCCGGTTGTCGTCCTGGTCGACAAGAGTCTCGAGGCTTGTCCACAGACTTGCTCTGGTGGTGGTGGTGCTTGTGACTGAAGTCTGCCCTTGTCCTGCATTGCATAGACTGATGGTGGTCATCCGTCAAGATCATCTGTGCCTTTATCCTTGTCTCTTGAGCCCTCGAGCTTGGACATTACAGAGCAGCCTCGTTCCTCCAGACTGCTCCCGAGTTTGGGCTGCCTGTGCCACCTCTATATACTCCGATCCCTGCATCAGTACGGAGTACCCCGTACCATGAGCCATCTCTCTGCTTTCACAGCAAAGCAGCATTGAACATAACCAAAATGGCCAACATCGTCACCCGCCCCCTCAGCATCTTCCGCAAAAACGACTCCTCCAAGCCCCAGTCGCAGCTGCAATCACATTCACTACACACCAGATGGGGCGACGCAGCCATCTCCGCGCCAACAGACGGCTCCTGGAACCAGTACACTACCTTTACCCCTCACCAATCTTCCTCCTCGACCCGCAGGAGCAAGAGCAAGAACAAGAACAATAGCAAGAATGAGAGCATGGGCAAGCCAGCCTATGAAGTGGAATATGTGCCTCGCACGCATCAACTCATCGAGCCACGCCCAAGCTCAACCTCGACCTCCTTGTCACGGCGTCTCTCTATACGTCTAACGCCTAGATCAAAGAGCTCCCACACGGACTGTGACACAACCGAACGCCAACCCCTCGTCGAGCGACGGGCTCAGTTCGCCTACAAACCCATCCGCCAGGATTATCTCAGCGAAGTTGCCGAAAAGACACCATCGGCGCCTCGAATCACCGTCAACAGCGTCGACAAGCGGTCTGCATCTCCATCTCCTGCTTCGTCGCTGGAGCCGACGCCGTCGCCGTCATCGTCGCGGTTCCGGTATATCCCTGCCTGCCCGCGGTACGAGGAGGAATTCGCTCGCTCGCGCTTATCTCGCGCGTACTCGGTCTCCTCAGGAGGTAGTCTCCACGCTGGAGACGATGGGAACTGGGAGGAGGGCTTCAAACATACCTGTGAGCGCGTGGACTCCGGCTCCGGCTCTCGGAGGAGTAGTTCGTCAGCGTCGGCGGCGAAGAAGCGTGTCTCCGCCAGACGCATGACCATGACTATGGTGCCTGATGCGGAGGAAATCTATGGATGATTTGGTTTCACTTATCGTTTACCTCGTTTGTGTTGAATGCATTTTGGCTCGTGGTGGACTTTTGTAGCGACATATTTCAAGGCGTTGGTGGGGTGGTGTCGATTTTATATTTGGGCAACTTCATGGTGTTGACCAGAGCCATGATAATGATAATGACATTCTGACATTCAGTAGCTGCTCCCTTATCCTCTTAACTTATGTTACATCTTGAGTAACTTCGTGTAGATAGTTAAAAAACCACCTCACAAAGTAAGTCTAGTCCCCCTTACTAAGGCAGTAGATAAAGATCAAAGCCTGAACCTGTACCCTAGGTACACTACACTCGCAGAGGTCAAGTGATTTAAGTCTATATTTTTTACTAAAGCCCACCTGGACTGACGATAATAATACAATGAGCATACCATGCATGCTTGCATACATGCTTAAGTTTCCAAGGAGAAAGGTACCCGAGGTGAGGGTCCTATCCTGACGTCAGATTGAACACCATCACCATCACCAGTCGACGTCAGAACGCTTCAGTCCTTCCCTCACATTTCCTATTGGCGGCTTGGCCTCCCCTCCTCACCTCTTCACAGTCGCTCGATTCATCTAGTCCAGCTCGCTGCGATATCAGGCAATGGCGGAGCTAGTTCCCTCAGATTTCCTGTTCTGTCGCCTGTTCCACTGGGTATACCAATAATGACGCCATGCCCACGCATTGCACCTTTATCGTCGTCGCAAGTCCGGCCATCTTCGTCGCTGGTTTCTACATCGTTCATGATTATTATTCCATTGCTTCCTGAATCGATCGCTTGAGGATCAGGAGTAACAACCCTTACAACCGGCGCCTCATTCCTACCAAGTTGCATACGTCTGGCACAATGGCAGAATCAGTGGTCCAAATTAAGTGTGAATGCAAGGTTTGTCTTCGCCATTTGAATTACAGATTCGAAATCTAATAGCCGTATCATGACAGCACGACCCCTGGGGCAAAAAGGGCAAAGATGCACTGGCTGCCCAGCTTTGGGCAAAGTCACCTGGCTCCGGTGATATCAAGGAGACAGAGACATATTCTGAGGTGAGGAGGAGCCTCATCCCCTAGCCATGCTGCTTATAAAAGTTAACTCTTTGAGATAGATGTGGATGGGGACCTACCCGACAAACCCGTCGAAAATTCTCGCCACAGGCGAGTTGCTCGCTGACTACATCAAAAACAACCCGCAGTTGATCGGGAAGGCAGCTTTGGATCGATTTGGGCCAGAGATCCCCTTTTTACCCAAGGTATACACCATGGCGAGAGAAACGGTCCGCTGACCTTGACTAACGAAGACTCAGATCCTGTCCTTCGCCAAAGCCCTCCCGCTTCAAATCCACCCCGACAAGGCCTTGGCTGAGAAGCTCCACGCAACCGATCCGAAGAAGTTCGGAGACCCCAACCACAAACCCGAAATAGCAATTGCACTATCTAACTTTGAGCTTTTTGCCGGCTTCAAACCCCTGAAAGACATCGAGTCCCTAATGAAACTGAAGCCGCTCGAACGGTTTGTCCCGCCTCACGAGAAATTCGATGACGAGCTTCTGCGGCAAATTTGCAAGGCGCTGCTGAGCGCGTCCCCTGTCGCCGTTGCCGAAACGATCAGTGAGCTTCAAAACATACCCGAATCCCAGTTCGGTCCCAACAGCAGCTATATTCCGGGTATGCTGGAGAGACTTCGCAAACAGTATTCCGAGTACGACAATGGCAACCTGGTCGCTGCGTTGTTGATGAACTATCTCAGCATCGGACCGGGCGAGGCAGTCAATGTACCTGCGGATAGTCTGCATGCATATCTTAACGGTGACATCATGGAATGCATGGCCCGTTCCGATAACGTTCTGAACACAGGGTTTTGTCCTAGGCCGGCTCGGGATAATGTGGATCTGTTCTCACGGGCGCTAACTTTCAAACCTCACTCAAAAGACGAGGTGATTCTACCACGGAAAAAGAGTGACAAGGGCTTGAATGGGAAAACCGATGAGTATGCGCCCGCCTTTTCCGAATTCAACGTCCTGGCGACTTGTTTGGGGCCCGGGGAGACGGAAACGCATAAGGCCATCTTAGGCCCAAGTCTTATGATCGTCACAAAAGGTAATGGTCAAATGAACGCTCCTGGCGACAAGCGGTTCGATCTGAAGGAAGGATACACCTACTTCATCGGACAGGGAGTCGCCTTAGACTTCTTCACAGAGAAGGGAATGGCGGTTTATCGACCTTATGCAGAATAATCAGAAAGCGGTGCATACATATTAGAGGTGGTCGGTCAATGTGATAGAAGAAATGCATCAACTTGTCCTAACTCCTTCACTTGTCGGTCCTTGTAATTTCACCATGCAGGAAATATGCGTCAGTTGCTGAAGTAAAGATAGGGCCCTTTGAGCTTGAACAACTCATCTGCAGAGAGATGGGTCAGATCACAATTCCCCTCGGAGGATCACTTGCGCTTATCTTGTTTAGTTGATGGTTACAGGCAAACGGAAAGCTGAAACGCATGCTCGATCCTCCCACGCCCAAAATAGCATCCAAACTGGTGCGGATTCGGGAATCATTGGCTGAGAGAGTTCGGCGACTTCGGTTGTGCGCGCCCTGACCCCGTATCTTCGCGCTAGGGAGAGCGCTCCGATTCGGTTTCTATCTTTGTCCATGACTACCACAATCCCGCATTGCTTGATCCTCAAAATAACTTTAAACTCACGGCTCTGAAACGAGGGACCGTGGTCAGGCTTGAGCTTATCATTATGACAGGACTTAAATATTCTCTTTCTTCCCCTCATCGTAGAGGGGTGATCCAACAGCGTTGATGGAGAGGCTGGCGAGGCGGATCAGGGTCCTCTCATTGCTTCGCTTGTGATTGGTATCGAACAAGCATTGCTTCTTTCTTCTGAAGAACGATTGTCCAGTATGGTCATTTCGCGTGATACCAACGATTCAGGCCACGTTGAATCCGATCACGCCTCGTCGACTTCAACCGATAGTCCAGGATCGGGGAGCTCCAACAATGTGACTTCGATAATCATCGGAGTGGTCGTTGGAGGCGTTGCTGCCATTGCGAGTAGGGCTCTCTTCTAGCAAAGTAGGCCCTGTGCGTGTTCCAATTCTAACAAGTCTGTATCAGTCACCGCGGGCATACTCTTCTTCCTCTATAAGAAACGCAGATGGGATCGCATCCGTCGACACGAAGAACAACTCCTCGAGTATCACATCCAGGCAGGGCTGAAGGCAGACGATGCTGAGCTTGGAACTATGCGGGGTCGACCGTCATCTTCGCTCTCCATGTATCGAGCCCACTCTGACGACATCAGTGACCGACCACCAGCATATCAGACTTTGCATGTACCGGTCTATGACCCGTCCAGGTACAGAGATATCGATATCACACCAACCATGCAGTTCTCTACGATGAGACAACCGCCATTACAGCCAGTCGATAATGCTCATGTAAGAGTTCCGCCACAGCTTCGCGACCAGCTTGTCTCACATCTGAACGACGACTCGCCATTGCCACAGCTATTGCAGCCACCAGGGCGGTCATTTCTGGGAACCTCACCAGATTCGACACGAGATTCGATACAATCAGACGGTCTCTTCCAAGCCACTGTGGTTCCGGCAGACTCGAGCACACTCGATCAGACGGCAAGGCTACCTAGGAGACCAAAACCGGTACTCTCGAGATTGATCACAAATCTCAACTAATGACGAGATGCCTATTCGTATCAGTTGACTATGATTCTGGCGTTAGGGCGATGTCTTTGTCTGTTGGAACGGCGTAAATGGATATTAGCGATGGTGTATGGTGTTGGGTCCTGAGTTTTCTTACTCTTGTTTTTCTCGTGATCATTGGCTCTGAAGCCGCAGAAATAATGGCGACGACATCATAAAACATGCAATGTGGCGCACTTCATCCAAGTTCCAGAACCCTGGGATCGTGGAAGAGGCTCCAATTGATGATTGATTGCGCAGGTTCGACCTGCACTTGGCAGCAGTCATACTAGGACAAATAACTTCAATTATGATGGGCTGGCAAGTCTCCCCGAGGACAGTCAACACCTGAGGCGCGAGGAAGGAATCGTCTTGAAGACTGAATGGGAGGACTTACCTCCTTCCTTTCTCTTTGCCATCGCCGTGCATGATGTGGAAGGAAAGTGCAGACTCTTAGAGTCCGCTACATCAAGACACCCTCAGCTCGATGTATTTTCTTCCAGTCTCTCGAGACAACACACTCGGCGGAGACTTCTCTCTAATGCCCTATTTCTTCGTCTCTGCCATATAATACTACCTATTCTTATTTCAGTCGTTACTCTCGTTACACGGTAGCCAGGCGAACGCACCTTACTCGGACACCCATTTGCGTATCAGCATGGATGAAATGATAGCAGGATGCCTATGCCTGTATGGTTTCGCAACTGTCCAACAACCGGCTGACCAGGCCGTTCTTGTTTTTGGGACGAATCTCTCCGGCGCATCCAATAGAGCCGTCCTCAGGAAGGAAATGGCTTTTGCTCAAGCCCTGATGCGGGCATTCCCGCCACAGTCAATTCATGTTTTTGAACCCACACGAACTTGGTCGGAATGGAAAAGCGATACTGTTGCCGCAAATACTAATCCGAGGTCGGCATACGCGCGCATCTACCGCTCGCAGACGACGTACAGAATGGGCTTCGGAAATGTGGACTTTATGTGCCATGTGGCGAAGCAGCTCGATGACCATAAGGGCGTTGAAATCTTGGAACTTCACTGGCTACTCAGCGAGGAGGCCACCCATTCTCTGGAGTTCAAGGCTGCGCAATCGGCAATGAAGGATGCAGGTCGGAGAGCGGAATCATTAGCCAGGAGGGCTGGACTCAGCTTTGCTCCCTTGCGAATGACAGATCTCGAGTGGCGAGCAAACGAGGAGGCCTTACCTGCATCCTGGAAGGACGCGGAGAACGACGCGGGTGGCAGACACCTCGACATGGAGCCGCGGATGTTTCAGCTTAATGCTATCGTCAAAGGCAATTTCATTATCTGGTGATATGTGCGGCGCGGAAGGGCTCGCCTGGTTGCTCTTTGTGCTTCGGTCGGTTTGCTTGTTCAGAAGGGTAACAGCTTGAGGATCTCGAAACGCTGATGTGTTTGGCTAGTGATTTGGATCGCTCAAGCGATATATTGTTGCTGAATGGCTAGATTTGCTTGGACTTTGCTCGGATCAGTGGCTTGGGATGAATTACTTTGCTCATGAGATGATTACAGAGGTATAACAACTTCTACTTGCTACGGCTCCATGTCAAGAACCCTAGCCCGTCTAGGGTAATAAGCCTCCCTAAAAGGAGACTCGAGCCATTTCCTCATAACATCAAGTTGCGAGCCCAGCAGGAGGTCCCTGCTGTGGCACATTTGCTCCGTCTTCATACAAACAGTGGGAAAATCTAGGACAATACCATAAGATCCGCATCTTGGTAATGTCAAACGGGAAATTTGCATCCCTCTGTGGATAATATTCCAAGGCGGAGGAGTAATTCGTCATTTCATGGGTAAATTCGTGTAAATAGCTTGACTGGCATCCGCGGAAATCTCCGCTTCGACGCTGTAAGCTTGTAATTGTTTCTTCCACGGATCCATGCCATAATCAAGTTTGATAGCCGCTGTGAGGTTACATTCGATCAGATGTGAGGAGTGTCAGTACTGAGTACGGGCATTCACGTTCCAGGCCTGATCTGAGGTGGACTGGCATGTGCTGGTTGCGTTCCACTGCCAATGTGTATCCCTGCCCATCCGAATGCCACTAGCGTGGGTTTAAAAGGTCGAGCAGTGAAATGACTGACAGAATGATAGAGAGTACGTACTCCGCAGTGTTATTCGCCTCGGCCGGAACAACGGAGAAAAAACGGGTTTCATCAAGAACGAGTTTTTCGTCCTGGTCGCAAAGTTGTCAGTCGATGATGGCTTTTCCCTTGTCGAGGTGCTGAGAATCATTTGGTCTATTCGCCTAGATCCATTCAGTTCGAGTTTCCAACTGGAGGACAACAACACGAAATGACTGTGATTAGACTAATAAGACATGAGCTGATGCTCCATCACGGCGCGTAGTTAAGCTCTCTGGATGGTTCGGTTCACTTGGGCCCCTCGACGAGCTTACGGACTGCGGGACGATCAACCTTGTGCTTGTTCGCTTCTCAACCAACGGCAATACGCTAAATAATCGCCGAGTGTTGGTTCCAGGGTTCATCTCTTACGACGTCCAACTCAATTAGCGATATTATTATGATGACTTATCGGTTCATATTCTGAATAAGAAAACAGGGAAAAATATGGTGGATGCACTACTCCGCTTGGGACACTCAGAGGAAGAGACCAAGAGCCTTCCTGTTTGGGGATCGAGCTTCAGCTCGTTGCTTTGCCCCTCCTTTTGCTGATGATCCCTGTCTGTCTCAAGTATCCATCCCCTTTCAGTCACTCACACGATGATATGATAGCAATGAGCATCACGGGGCGTGCGAATAGCAGATCCCAGTAAGTAAGACATGACATCCACACGGAAATTTCTCCCCCAGTGGTCGATCCTCTTCCTCAGCCGCATCGTGACCCTTAAGACGTATGTTCACGACTTATCTGTCCTTAGATTACGTAGCCTGTCTCTGGGCTACTGCCTGGCAATGTAGGCAGGATGCAGAGGAACAGAGCTTTTCATCAAGGATGCGATTATCGACGAGAGTCAACCGCGGTGCTGGAAGATGCTACTGCCGTAGTCTCTACGTATTCGGCCATATTCCATTGCCCCCCCTTGCGAAAGTCCCACATTTTCTCGAGGCTTAATCGATTGATACGGCTGCCCCCTGGTCCTGCTTCGAGCAGCAGATGATGAGCAAGCGCCACGCCAAGAAAGGCGGACAGCTGCGGGCGTCGTTGTGTGCAACGTAGTTGACCAACATCCAAGATCGCTTGGCTCCGTCGGCAAGAGCTGTAAAGTGGCTACGCCGCAATTTCTCCTTCCCTGCAAAGTTTCTTACTCCTTCCGCGACGTACCCCTCTCGTTTAATACTATGGGTTGCAGGCCAGAGACTGCAGCCTGCTGTCTACCCTGCCTAGAAAGTGCTGTGCCGGGGTCTTCAGGACCAGTCACCGTCTGTCATTCTGCGTGCCGCTCCAAAACCGCCGCGATGCCCAAAGACGATCTGCTTTGGGAAGTTTCCAGGTGGCGGTCCGTTGACTTTCACCTGAAGGGGGGTTGACCCAAACTGTCGGGTCTGTAACGCGTCTTTGTCTCGCATGACTCCCGTCCTACGGTGTTGTCTACTCGAGCGGACTTCTTCAGGATCTTTCCTTTCGGATCATGTCACATAGAGCTATGTGGCTGTCATTTGATTGTGCCTGATGGATGTGTTATGACATCTCCTCGTCCCATGCAGGCCGTCGGCTGTCCAGTATCACTCCTGTTTCCTCTCCATACAAAGCCTGACTGCCTTTTGACTCACTCGGAGGAGTCTCTGTAGGAGAGGAATACATAATTCCTGCGTCAGTCGCTACAATATTTGCCTTCCCGCCGGTGTGGCATTGTTTTCGGCCCGAGTCCTTCTAAAGAAGTGAACTTCTCTTCTGGGGGGGTACATTCTATGAAAAACCCTATCGCCATCATGACGGCCATTATTCGCAAGTTGAGGAGGAAGCGCAAGCTGTCTTCCGAACTGCATTCCCGATGGGGCGATGTATCAATCACTTATCCCACCGAAGGCTCCTGGAGTCAGTGGGATCAGCCTTCTAGCATCAAGATGAACGTTGTCCCTGAGATCTCGTCGGAACAACGCCGAAGGCATAGTTCGCCGGAGGCTCGACATCGAGAAAGTAACTCTTCTCGCCCTGAACCAACCTTGCATTCTAGGGACTCGGAAGGACGGGAATCGTCAGTCGATTCTGCCACCACAATACCCACCGGACACTACGATGCGAAATTACGGAGCCGACCAACAAAAGAACAACCCACGCAGAAAATCTCAGAGCACCGTGGAATTGTAAGTGAGCAGAAGGGCCTTGTCAATCCTTGGGATGATATATGCTCCAGCGATGAAGCCGACGAAGCCGATATTATTCCACCGCCAAAGGGCCCCAAACGCCTTCCGCGAGAATTAAATCGTCTTCAACTCAATGCACATTTGGATGACTATAGTCGAGCATCCAAGTCACCCCCGCTCTCTGTCACCGCGCGAATGCGGCGACGCAGTCAACAAAGCAGCGTCACCGAGCCGACAGCATCGGTTTCGGGGACCACGAGTTCCAAGCATACGAGCTTTACGTCCTCTGTACCGTCAGTCCCATCTGAGGAGCCTCGACATATGTCGTATTCTCCATTGCAAGAACAGAAACTTGCTCGTCGGTCAAAGCCTCGAGAGACTGAGCCTGTCCGTGAGCCAGTTCGTGAGCCAGAGTTGGTTCCCTCCTACGATGAGCTCTACGGGTAGCACTTGTGTTTGATCTCCATACCCTCCCTACTACAATTACCATTTCCGTTATGACAGACTTTCATTTACATGAGGCCTTCTGGCTGGAGGATGACTTTTTGCTCGAGGGTTTTTCTTAATGATTATTATGATATGTTACCTTTTGTGCCACCAGCGAGAGCGCAATAGGACATACAATTTGCATTTTGGAGTTTTATCTTTTTCATATGGGAGGGTCGTTCTTGATTTTTGGTCCATGTGATTGCCTAGCCTTCTCTTCTC